ATCCAGGATTAATTACTCCTCTCCTATGAAATTCCTCAAACACTAGCATTAGATCTCTTTCCAAGATATCCCAACAGTCTTGGTAAAAGGCCATCACAAAACCAACYGGGCCTGGAGCTTTTGTTCTATCCATAGAAAACACAGCCTCCCTAATCTCCTCTAGTTCAAAACTCCTTTCCATCCTTTGCCTTTCTACCCCTAATTCTGGCCATTCCAATCCTTCTAACCCCCCCCCCCCCTTAAAGGCCTTCTAAAGATGGACTTAAAAGTGTTCTACAAAGGCCCTTGCTATCTCATCCTATTGTTTCAGAATAGATCCTTCAACTTCCAATCTGGAGATAAAATCTAGTGTTTCCATCTCCCTCCTTTAACCACTTGCATCAAGATTTCTGTCTCCAACTTATTTCCTCCTTGTGCAAACAATCCTCCAATTGTCTTCTCAAACCCCCTCTCTGTTCCTTGTCTCCCTCTTCAAATTCTCCCCTTTCTTCTTTCAAATCCAGAATCTCAATTTGATCCATCAATATTCTTTTTCTTTCTTCTAATATACTAAACTCCAATTGGTTCCACTCCCTAATTTGCTTTCAGAAATTGAAGTTTCTTGTGAAACCTCATACCTTCCCATTCTTAGGGCATGACTTTATCTCTGGTCTGAGAGCACTTCTTCAATGGGAAAAAATGGGAAGAAAAGAAATTTACTAACTATATAATCGTTTGTTATTCCTCAATAAAATATAGTTATTAAATATTGTTCATCCTAACAGAAGAGGGATGATTTGGACACATCCTATTTTTGATAAATTGGGCACATAGCATCCCTAGTGAAAAGATGAGAAGAAACTCTGTGGTAAGGATGAGTCAAAACATAACAGTAATTTATTTAAATATCTTCTTTTTATTAATAATTAGGGGTATGTCCCCTTAATAAGATATGTTCAAATCACCATCCCAACAGAACATCTATATTCAGTTTCAGAACTATGGGGAAACAACTTTTCTGCCATGAACAGTAATCCAGCATGGGCTCCACTGGAAGAAGGGTGAAGGTGGGATTATAATTGCATTTTTTCAGGACTGGCTGGTATAGGGGACTCTATCTTAGCTGAGTTCCAACTTCCAAGTAGTCCTCCATGGGGTGCAGCTTGCAAAACAGATGAATATGGAGAGAGTGATAATTGAGGGGGATCCCAAGCTGGTAGTTGGGTGGCTAACAGATCCAGGCTCTGTTATTTGGACCTGTAGGGAAGCTGTGATGAAATTCAAAATGATGACCTCTAATATGATTGTAAGAATTCAGTGGCAAAGGAGGTCAGCTAATGGCTTAGTACTCTTTAGCTAAGCAAGGGGTTTTTAGGGAATCTATGTTTTGGGCTCAATTGCAAGCTGATTTGTACTGGAGGCTGTCACTTGCACCTCTCTTTGTGATGCATGTCTGTACACTTTCTGATTAATTCTTAATAAAGTTTTCATTGCCTATCAAAAAAAAATTGAGAAGTCGGGCTCTTTCACGGTAAAGTCCTTTTTTAACTACCTGTCAAGGGAAGAGACCTCTCACTTTCCGAGCAACAGGATCTGGATCAGGCCTATTCCTTCAAAACTAGCTTTTTTTGTTTGGTCTGCAGTGCTGGATAAGATTTTAACTAAGGAGAATTTATCTAGAAGAGGTTTTGAAGTGACAGATCTAGAATGCACACTCTGTAATGGAAATGTGGAAAGCCATTTATTACTGCATTGTGACTTCACTTACTGGGTTTGGACAACACTGCTAGAGATTTTCGGAGTTAATATTTGTTTCCCACAGGATGTGAAGGGCTTCCTAGAGGCTTGGTTCCTAGGAGGCCTCAGCAAGGCTGGAAACTATTTTCTGGGCAGTATGGGGTGAAAGAAATTTGAGAATTTTCGAAGGAAGACAGAAAACAAAAGAAGAGGTGTTCAACAGGATTATGGGGATGGTGTTTTCGTGGATGACAAACCATCCACTCTTTATAAACAGGCAAACTTGTTCTTTTTTGAGCTTGATTTCCTTTTTGTAAGAAGACCATAGTTTTTTTTTTTTTTTTGTTGGGATGTTTTTAAGAGGCTGGCTTTTCTGAGTTCTTCTGTCTATTTCTGCCGTACAGTCTCTTATTGTACAGGGGCCTTTTGTATTCTGCCCTTTTGTTATTAATGAAATAATTTACCTTACAGTTCTCAAAAAAAAAAAAATGATGTGGCAAAGATAACATATCTTGGTGGAAATAATGTATTGGAATTTTATTTGTTTGTCAAGATTCTTTAGTTGTTAGGATTCGGTTTTCGGCCAAATATTAATATTTAAACAAAAAGCGATAAAAGGATTTAGGGATAGAATATATGAGAAGCATAAACCTGTAATCTACACAACGATGTTTGAAATGTTTTTAGGTTTTCTATAAATTAGTGTTATCCTCAGAATAGGGAAAGTATATGAAAATTTCATGGAAAAATAATCAAGTAAATTTTAGTAACATAATAATCTTGTTCTTGGACATCCATTGAAGTGTGCCCAATGTTGTGGGTTGAAGGCATGATAGATATAGTCTATAGAGTTAGGCTAAGAGAAGGAGCTTATCTTGTTTTGGTTCTTGATTGTAGATGTTTGCTGTGTTGCTGTTTATTAGGAAATTGTTAGGTATAGGATTTCTATCATGCATAAAATTATGAATGGAATGCTAAAACTGTCTTTTAATCTTGAGAATGCAGTCGTTTTTATTTCTTCTTAAACATAAGAATTGCATTTGGTATSCAACATGGACCAGCTGATGATCCTGTAGTTGCAAAATGGCCAAGATTCCAGATTCTCCAATTTATTGATTCTAAAAAAGAACTAGGTTTCTCCCATAGATTATAATGGTGGTAAATATTGTTTTGGGGGTTTGTGCTGGCCTTTCTTCCAATGATAATTTGAAGTCTGATGCTGAGTAATCTCTAGATTTGGTTTGGTGGGAGTGGTTTCACTATTTAACCTTGTCTTAGATTGCATCCTCCTTCACATAGCCCTGGCCTTGGTTGAATCTCCTGCAAACAAAACTGAAGTTGTTCTTCTGTTACCAAGTATCTATTATTCTCTTCAAATCTGTCCATCTTCTTTAGCAAGTTAAGTGTCAGGAGTTAATATTACCCTTTCTGTTGCTGATAAAATAATAATAATAATAATACCCTTTCTGTTGCTGATAAAAATAATAATAACATTACCCTTTCTGTTGGTGTCTTTAATTTGAACATCAAGTTAGTCTGCGTTCTCACTACTGGTGTCCACTGTTGTTTTCTTGCCAATGTTTCCAAGTATAATTTTGATAGAAAGACACTTAGCCCTGAAATACTATTTGCTACTGGTTGGTTTGTATACGTGTGCCCCGACATGTCAACTGTTCAATGCATTCGTTCATGTGCTGTGTATATTTTGTTCCAGTACAATGACAACAATAATAATCAACTGCCTTGTCAGGTACTTTGAGGAATGTTAAGTTGGGATACATCAAAGAACTGATATATGAAGAAATTATTTTTCACTCTCCCAGATATTAAACAGCCAGATTATACCTTCCTCRGTTTTCTTTTTCTTTTTGATAGGCAACAATGAAGTTTTTTTAACAAAAGTCAAATGTGTACAAGATGTACATACACCATTACAACAGATTATGTAGCATGCAAGATATACACAGATTGATGGGAAAAGGATAGACATTTGCTTCCTTAATGATCATAAATGGGGCCTTGGTGTTTCAGATGTTGAGGAGGTGGAAGGTTTGACAAAATGGCCTCAGGTTGGCAAGATAGACCAATTTCCTATAAGCAACTTGATCTTTTGAGGCCATCAGCTCAATATTATTCAGTTGTTTAAGTTAGTATTCCTTGGATTCCCCCTCCCCCCMAAAAAATGATAATAATAAAAAGGAACTAGATTTTAGTTGTTAGAATTGTGATTCTTCAAGTACATTTGTTTCTTTCATGGTATGGAACTTAATCCCTTGCCTCCTGATTTCTGTTGGATTTATTAATAGTTTGTGATGGAAATGKCTACCTTGTGATTGATTCCACAAGCATGTAGCCCCTCTCATGTTTTATTGATGAAGCCAACTCAAAATACCCTGTTTACAGGGCAATCACCAGATATTTCAGACCATGCGAAAGGGAACTATACCCTTATGAGGGATACAGAAAGCTGTCAGTTGGGGATGTATGACAAACCTCTCCCTTGCTTTGGTTGTGGTATAGGGTGGTTCTCGTAAGTAAATCTCTCTCTCTCTCTCTCTCTCTCACTCTCTCTCTCTCTCTCATGGTTACACCGTTTCTTGCAGTCTATTACTAGGTTTTGTGTTTCCATGTATGTGGTACTATGCCACAATTCTCTACTTTGGAAATTACTATCGCAAGGATCCAAGAGAGCGAGCGGGCCTTGCTGCTTCTGCAATTGCGGTAATCTCTCTCTCTCTCTCGTGCGCGCACACACCTTTCGTTTTGTTTTTTGAAATTTCAGCCAATTTCCCAAAGTAATATTGACATTGGGGCTGTCTTTTAATCACCTTGGCTTTTAATCTAATTCTGRCATGGTTCCAGGCATTGATCTGCTCGGTTGTGCTGTTGATCGTTGTGGCTTTACTTATTTTTTAAATGATGGTGCTTCAGTTTCGCCAATGCTTCTCACCTTTGTATTATCCCAGAATGAGAAGCCCAGGTACATATTGTACAAAAAAGGTTGCAGCAAGTAGCAACAGGAAAAACTGCATTTTCCAATATATTTTGTAAAATGCGAACTATATGACTAAAAAGGCCAGATTCTGCCCACAATGTTGTAAGTAGCATGGATAATCAGATGATGAAGAGAATATGCATAAATCAGTTGTCGCTGCTGGGTTTCAGCCGATCAGATTCTTCATATTGATAAATGCAGGAGAAAATCAAGGACAATGGCATAATTATAGTCAATTATGTGTATATTAACCTCCACTAGCACTCCCAAGTATTAATCTAAATTCTAAACAAATTCATTTCTGGCTAAAGAGAAAACAGATGAAACAAAAATGCTGAGAAATTTGAAACATCATTTCTTACATTCTCAAGGACCGGGATGTTGGGAACTACTAAGTACCCGTTTGAGAAGACGGCTTTTAGAATGCAGCTTCTGGCGTTCCATATTGGGCCTCGCATTGGTTTGGTGAAAATACAGAAAGCCAGTATGGACGTTCCAAATGCCAGAAGACTGTAAGTCTATAACAATAAATTACTCCGAGTAGCTTGTTTGGAACATGGGTACTCAGTTAATGCAAATGCAACTGTCCCAAATGGATCCTAATTATGAATAAATAAAGGGAATAAGCCAGTTCACTCCCACCTCAAGAGACATGCCATAGGTGTTCCAATTCACCTTTTGTTTGCCTCAGCATTAACACCTAATTCAATATTGCTTGACCAGATAAGATATTGATATCGAGATCCAAATATCTTGCTGAAGCCAAACTTACAAATTCAATATTGCTTGACCATATAATCATAATCAACAAAGAACAGGTCACCCTAAGGAGTGATATGTTGCAAGTTGAAGGRGTTAGAAGGGTTAGAGGTAGATAAAAATAATGACACAAGTGGAAATAATTAGAAATTATTTTAATAAGTGTTCACTAATCTAACAATGGATATAACATTAAACAAAACTGAATGGCAAAATAGTATCGAATGTAGCTAACCCCATATCATTGGGATAAGGTTCGAATGATAATGATGATATACAAAGGGGTCAGATATTAATATAGGGAGACGTACAAACCAGCCCAGCTCAGAWTTTACTAGGCCCAAAGTATAGGGGAAATGCATCCTGACCGTGAATTGATGCCAAATTCATGGGCAGGATGTGGTCTATAGGGGGGACAGGGCTACTTGTAAGGGGGGGTGCTGGAATTCAGAATTCTGCATCGTGTGTTTCCGTACTTTTCCCTAATTCTTCTTCTTGTATGACAAAATCAGATACACATTCATTCATCAGCATGACAATCTGGGCTCAAAAATCAACTACTCCCGTTGGAGTAGCCACCTTAAATTGGATGAAGACATGAAGTGATATTAGGTGTCTCACAAAAATGCATTGAAAGCCGTGATTTACCATTTTAGCCCAATTCTAATCCAAAGGGAGTAGCTCATTTCTCCTCTCAATCAGGGTAACACAGCACAAGCTTTAATAAGTCATTCCACCTAAAACTTTTCCAATGGTGAAAAAGACTGCTAGGGATGCAACAGTTTCGACATTTTGATGAATAACTTGCCATAAATCTACCCAATTAAGGCTGCATTTGGCATTTCTTATTGTAAGGATTTATCTCCTTTTTGCAGTTAAAATGTCTCTATAAACAAAGTTTTTAATT